CACAAATTCAAACTAAAATTGAACGTGCGAATTGAAGAGCTGGCGAAAGTTATCGTATACGGGCGTAAATCGAATGGTGGCCATCCCGATCTAACAAATCCTTTTTGATCGATTAAGTGGTGAAAACGATAATGTATGGTGTGTGTGTAGTGTGGTTGCGTGTATGATAATGTAGGTTGTGTGTTGACTGTTGTGTTGTGTAATGAGTATGAGTTGTGTGATTTTTTTTTTTTATAGGAGGAGGAAGCATCGAAAGCCGGAGTGCTGGACTTTAATCCGTTAAACCTAACCTACTCCCACCTCATGTCTCTCCCACGGGACCACTGGACAAAGTATTACTTCATGGGAGAGAAGAAGACGTTTAAGTCTCCTCTATTTCACGGACTGACTGACGCCTAATCTGTTCTAAATGTCTCARTTTTGTCGTAATTACATTTGCCGCTTCGCTGACAGCTTTCCACTTTACAGAGGACTCGCACATAAGTGCTGTCAAATTTTCCACCATAATACTACCTGCCAGGATGGTTTTCCGCTTTTCCCTTATACCTAAAAACCGAGGGCAATAAAAGAACACGTGTTCAGAGTCTTCTATACACTCTGTACACGTCGGACAGTATTGACTAAAGTCATGACGATACTTGAATAGGTAGATTCTGAAGCAACCATGACCACTGAGTATTTGGGTAAGGTGSAAATCCAGGTCTCCATGTTGTCTACCTATCCACAAATGTATGTCCGAAATCAGTCGGTAGGTCCACCGTCCTTTGCATGAAGTTTGCCACCGTTGCTGCCACATTGCAATGCTTTTTCTTCTCTCTTCTCTTTTTGCTGTGGTAGACGTCTCTGATAGGTTATATATTCGAGCGAATTCGTCTCCCTGGATGTCAATCGGCGCCATACTGGCTAATACCTCAGCAGCGTCACTTGAAATGGTTCGAAAAGCACTTATCGCACGTATTGCTGAAAGCCTATGTACTGTGTTAATTGGTCTAGCTTATGCTTTTGTTCCATCCATATTGGAGCCGCATATAGGATCACTGAACTTATTGCCTTGGCTATTAAACATCGTCGGCTGGAACGCATACAACCTTTATTTGCCATCATTCGAGATAACGCATTACATATTTTATTTCCTTTACTTGTCGCATTTTCCAAGTGGTCCTTGAACTTTAGTCTTGAGTCCACTGTTACCCCAAGATACTTCARCTGCGGCTGTGAAGTAATCTCACATTCTCCTATGGTCAGTGATATTTTCTCCTCAATTTTCCTTGAGCTTATGAGCAGGACTTCTGTTTTCTGCTCAGCCAGCTCTAGACTCATGGTAGCAAACCTTCGG